TGCCTCCGCCAGGCCTCTACACCGCGTACACGGCGCACCTGTGCCGGGACAAGGCCCTGCTCCGCCGGCTGCTCCGGGGCCTGCAGAAGAAGCGGCCCGCGGGGGTGCTGACCGCGCTGCTGAGGCGGCACCTCCTGGAGCTCACGCAGAGCTTCATCATCCCCCTGGTGAGGCCCAGGGCGGGCAGGCGGGGCGGGGACCCCGAGACCCCTGGTGAGGCCCAGGGCGGGCAGGCGGGGCGGGGACCCCGAGACCCAGGCTGAGGCCCAGGGCGGGCAGGCGGGGCGGGGACCCCGAGACCCCTGGTGAGGCCCAGGGCGGGCAGGCGGGGCGGGGACCCCGAGACCCCTGGTGAGGCCCAGGGCGGGCAGGCGGGGCGGGGACCCCGAGACCCAGGCTGAGGCCCAGGGCGGGTAGGCGGGGCGGGGACCCCGAGACCCAGGCTGAGGCCCAGGGCGGGCAGGCGGGGCGGGGACCCCGAGACCCCTGGTGAGGCCCAGGGCGGGCAGGCGGGGCGGGGACCCCGAGACCCAGGCTGAGGCCCAGGGCGGGCAGGCGGGGCGGGTACCCCGAGACCCCTGGTGAGGCCCAGGGCGGCCAGGCGGGGCGGGGACCCCGAGACCCAGGCTGAGGCCCAGGGCGGGCAGGCGGGGCGGGGACCCCGAGACCCCAGGCTGAGGCCCAGGGCGGGCAGGCGGGGCGGGGACCCCGAGACCCCTGGTGAGGCCCAGGGCGGGCAGGCGGGGCGGGGACCCCGAGACCCAGGCTGAGGCCCAGGGCGGGTAGGCGGGGCGGGGACCCCGAGACCCAGGCTGAGGCCCAGGGCGGGCAGGCGGGGCGGGGACCCCGAGACCCCTGGTGAGGCCCAGGGCGGGCAGGCGGGGCGGGGACCCCGAGACCCAGGCTGAGGCCCAGGGCGGGCAGGCGGGGCGGGGACCCCGAGACCCCTGGTGAGGCCCAGGGCGGCCAGGCGGGGCGGGGACCCCGAGACCCAGGCTGAGGCCCAGGGCGGGCAGGCGGGGCGGGGACCCCGAGACCCCAGGCTGAGGCCCAGGGCGGGCAGGCGGGGCGGGTACCCCGAGACCCCTGGTGAGGCCCAGGGCGGGCAGGCGGGGCGGGTACCCCGAGACCCAGGCTGAGGCCCAGGGCGGGCAGGCGGGGCGGGGACCCCGAGACCCAGGCTGAGGCCCAGGGCGGGCAGGCGGGGCGGGGACCCCGAGACCCCTGGTGAGGCCCAGGGCGGGCAGGCGGGGCAGGGACACGAGACCCAGGCTGAGGCCCAGGGCGGGCAGGCGGGGCAGGGACCCCGAGACCCCAGGCTGAGGCCCAGGGCGGGCAGGCGGGGCGGGGACCCCGAGACCCCAGGCTGAGGCCCAGGACGGGCAGGCGGGGCGGGGACCCTGAGACCCCTGGTGAGGCCCAAGGCGGGTAGGCGGGGCGGGGACCCCGAGACCCAGGCTGAGGCCCAGGGCGGGCAGGTGGGGCGGGGACCCCGAGACCCCAGGCTGAGGCCCAGGCCACTCCCCCCGACAGGAGCACTACATGGCCAGCCTCATGCCCCTGCGGAAGAGCATCACGCCCTGGAAGGTGGGGTTCAGGTTCTGGGCGAGGCTGGGAGAGGGTTCCTGTCCTGATTCTGGGGGAGGGAGGAGGTCATGGTGCTGGGGTCCCCAGGCTCTAGGCCATCCCCACACCTACCACTGTCCCTTACAGGATGGAGCAATGGGGCCACACAGAGGGCCCCAGGCCGCCCCTCTGGGGTCTTCCCAGCAGGATGGGGGGATCAGGCTGTGTCCCGAGGGGGGTCCTGGCCAGCCAGGTGCCGGGCCTGGGAGGCTGTTCCCTCCCAGCACCAGGGCTCACCTGGCCCCTGTCTCAGACCCCTCCCCAGGTCCGCCCCTTCCACCAGGAGGACTTCCTGTGCAGCCTGGAGCAGGCGGGGCCCCAGCTCACCTGCATCCTCAAGGGTGACTGGCTGGGTCTCTACAGGTGGGTGGACGCCAGTGCGGGACCTGGGCTCCTGCTGCTGGTGGGTACAGGGTGCCCGTCCCCAACCCATGACGGGTCAGCCCCACAGCCGCTGCCTCACTCACAGGCGGTTCTTCAAGTCCCCCCACTTTGACGGCTGGTACCGGCAGCGGCGCAAGGAGATGGCCCATCAACTGGAGGCCCTGCACCTGGAGGCCATTTGTGAGGCGGTAAGGGGGCGCCGGGGGAGCTGGGGGGCTAGGGCTGGGGAGGGCTGTGGTGATGGGTGGCCCCACCTTTTCATGGCAGAACATCGAGACCTGGATGAAGGGCAAGTCCGAGGTGGAGGTCGTGGACCTGGTCCTGAAACTTCGGGAGAAGCTGGTGAGCAGCCTGCCCGGCCCGGGCCATCGGGACACGGGGCCGCTCTCCCCTGACCAGTGCTGCCCCTGCAGGTGCGGGCACAGGGCCACCAGCTCCCTGTGGCGGCGGAGACGCTGCAGCAGGCCCGGCTGTACATCGAGACGGCCATCGGCTCCCTGCCCACGGACCTGCAGGCTGTCCTGTGCCCTCCCTAGGACAGGCCAGAGGGTGTGGTCTGGGCCTTCATGCCCGGGGGCCTGGGTCTGGCTGAGCTTCCCTCTCTCCAGGGAGGGTGGCCCAGCCAAGCACGAGCGCCGACCAGGCTCCCTGCCGTCCCGGTCCTGGCCCCCGCCCAGCACCTCTGTCCCAGCAGTAAAGCGGGCTTTGGAGCCTTAGCCTCAGCCCTGCCTGTTGACGGTCATGTGTTGGCTGGAGCCTCCCCTCCCCCTGGGTCGCATCTGCCCGCTGCAGGGCTGCCAGCTGGGGGGCAGGGGGGGGGGCGGGCTGGCTGTGAGCCCTCGGTGCTTGGGGCCTGGGGCCCTGCCCCCCGCCAGGCACTCGTCTGCCGAGTCCTGGAAGGCCCAATGCCTTGCATTTGATGTGTCCTTCAGCCCCACCGGCTGCCCAGCCCAGGACAGGAACAGGCAGCTGATGGGCAGCCCCTCCTCACAGGGCCCACCCACCCCACCCACCCACTTGCCTGGGACCAGGGACCCCTCGCCCAGGTCCTTGTCTTGGGAGGGATGAGGTGCTTGGCCTCCTGATTGCTGGTTTCTTGAGAGGCCACTAGGGGGCAGTGTGGGACCCAGCCATGGGCTCCCACCCTCCAGGCATTGTCCCAGGCCCTGTCCCTGGAGTAATCGCCCCACCCCCCACCCCCACCCCACTCACACGTGGCTACAGGCACTGGGGTTACCCAGGTCCATCTACCCTATGTGCAGCCTGAGTGGCTTACTTGCCCCGCCCCAGCCCAAGCCTCTACAGCCACAGCCGCCTGGATCCCAGCTCCCAGAGGGGGTGCACGCCCCAGCCAGGCCCAGGGCTGCCCCCACTCAGCACAAGGTGAGAGCAGGGTCAGCTGGGGGAAGGGCCAGAGCGGTGGACCTGCAGTAAGGCTCCCCCGTCAGACCCCTCACCCGAGGAGCTGGGCCAGGCCGCGCGCGCGGGGCTCAGTGTCTCCTTGAGGTGGTCCCGGCAGTGAGCGGCTGCAGGCTGGTGGGGTTCCTGTCCCTCCTGAAGCCCCGCTCAGTCCTGCCCCTGGAGGGTGCATGCCCTCCCAGGCAGATGGCCACGTGCTGGTCTGAGCGTCTGTGTCAGCTTCTGGCCCAGACCTAACCCTAGGACAGTCTCACTGTCTTCAGTCTGAAAACTGAGGCAGTAACTGCGTTTTAGCAGAACAAGCTGGAGGCCCCTGAGGCCCACGTGCCAGGCCTGTGCAGCTCACTGTAACCCAGTGGGGGATGCAGAGCGGGGAGGAAGGGGTAGATGGGTCAAAGGAAGCAGAACACCGCCCCCCCCTCCTGCAGCAGAGCCTGAGAGCAGAAAGGCCTAGATGGGCAGGAGCCCAGTGTCCCAGGAGGTGCTGTGGTGACCACTGTGCTGGGGCTGGGAGGCCTGTGCAGGGCCAGGCGGGCGGAGATGCAGTGTCTGCTCCCGGCAGGAAGGAGTGGCCCCAGCTTCCTGGCTCTATTTAAAGACTCCCTTAGTCTGGCATAGTGGCCTTCCCACACCTTTGGTATTAAAATGTGCTGTGACCACACTGCTTGTGTTTTAACTTCCTTTTTTTAGTAAAAAGTTGGCATCTGTCAGACGCGGGTACTTTTGGGGTTCCCTGCAGTGGGGGCGGGGTGGGCATGGTGTGGATGTGGTTGGGGCTGAAGGGGTGGGAGGGCAGTGAGATGCTGAAAGCAGTGAGCAACACCCTCCTATCCTCTGGGGGGCAGGTCCAAGGAGGGGAGCACCCAGAGGAGGTGCCTGAGGGGGGAGGTCTGCAGGAGGGGACAAGGCCGGGTGCAGGGCAGGTCCCCACAGCGGTTGAGGGTTTGGGGAGCGGCGCTAACCATCCCTGGGCCTGTCCTGCCCCCTCTTCTCCAGCCGGGGCGGCGCGGCGCTGCGCACGGAGCCGGGCCAGGGGAGGCGCGCGCACCTCCGCCCTGAAGGGCCCGCCGTGGTGCCGGTGCGAGTCCCCAGGGCCCAGGGTGGGGTTGGGGAGGGGAGCTGGGGTCACAGATGCGTTTGCGAGGAGACTCCCAGGCGCCTTTCCCCCAGGAAGTGGGGTGCTGAGGTCCCCAGGAGCGGGTTCGGGCCCAGCAGCTTCCACCCGGGAAAGGCAGGTCTGGCGCCTGTTCCCCGACCGAGTGGGGACTCGGGGAGAACCGCGGGGGCACCTGGGGCCTCGCTCGGCTCGGCGCCCTCCCCCATCGCCAGGCCTGGGCTCCCCTGTGACCCAGGGCGCTCGCTGCCTGACCCGAACCTGGACCAGAACCGGGCCGAAACTGCCCTGCGCCGTGACGCACACTGGGGTCGGGGGGCGCGGGGGCGCGGGGGCGCGGGGGGCGCGGGGGGCGCAGGGGGCGCAGGGGCGCGGGGGCAGCCGGCCCGCCCCTCCCTCCCCTCCCCTGCCTTCCCTCTCTCCCCCCCGCCTCTCCCTCCTCCCCGTCGGGGGCGGGGCCGCTGCTCCCGCGCTCCGGCCCCTCCTCGGCCACACAAAGGCCCGTCTCCATGGCAGCCGCGCGGGCCGGAGCGCAGCGCCGAACGCGGCCCGGGCGCCATCGAGTCTTGTCGGCGGACGAGCAGGTACGAAATGGGGTGCAGGGCCCGCGGGGCGGCCGCGCGGGGCGGGGGGCTTCGCCGTGAGCTGCTGCGCCCCGGCCTGGAGCGCTCCGGGCGCGAGGGCCCCGGGCAGCGGCCGCCCCGCGGAGGGTGGCCGGGCCTGGGCCGCCGGCCGGTGCCCATCGGGCTGGGGCGGGCCGCCCGAACCCCGGTCTCCCGGTGGCGGTCGAGGCTGCGGCGCCCGGGGCCGGGTCTTGCTCAGCCGACGGTCCCGGCGGGGCGCAGCGCCCCCTCCTGCCGCCCGCGGCTCTGGGCCCCTCGCTCCGGCCCGGGTCCGAGCCCCCCTCCCACCGCGGCCCCGCGGAGACCCGTGCCCGGGCGGAGGTCGGCCCGCTGTGCCCGGGCTCCCGCGCCCAGTCGCCCCGCTTGGTTCAGGTGCAAGCCCGGCTTTCCCAGGGGCCGGACCTGCGCAGGCCTCGGCCCCACAGCCCCTGGGCCCCGTGAGGAGGACTCGGGCCGGGCCGGGCCGGGCCGGGCCGGGTGCAGGTTCTGACTTGGGACAGGCGGCCCAGCCCGGCGTCTGGAGCCCCGGGGCCCGCGCGGACAGTTCCCCTTGTGGGTTGTTGGTGCGGCGCTGGGTGAACACCCCGGGGCCCAGGAAGCCTCAGACCCGGGCAGGGTGGGTGGGCTCAGAGCTCGGGGCCTGCACCCACCCTCCGGCCCCGCACCTCCGACGCCGCCTCCTGTGGGAGCCCCCTGGGATAGGCCTCCCCGCCCCGAGGCTGCTGGCGAATCGGAGGGGTCCCTGAGCTCAAGAGCCCAGAGCTCCCTGCCATGTCTGGGGGCTCCTCCTCCCAGCAACTGGGGAAAGGAATGAAGGGTCTGTCTGCGCCCACCGTGGCTGGGGGTGGGGGTCAGGACTGGGGGTGCGGCTGGGCCTCAAGCTGGTGGAATGTTCCAGGGCCAGAGGGGCTCTCTAGGGAGCTTCCCGTTCATGTCTAACTTCAGCCTCTGCGTGTCCCCCCCGCCCCCCATCCCAGGGGGAGGAGAGTGCGAGAGCAAGAGCGAGGACGCCCGGAGGGGGGGTTCACAGCCCACCCCATACCCAGATGCCCCCCTAGCCTGGAGGGCAGAGCCATGGCAGGGCCTGAGGGAGGGCAGAGGGCGGAGGGGCCTCTTCTGCCCCAGGGTCCCCAGAGGGTGGCTGGCGGTGTGTTTGTGGTGTGACAGCTCTCAGGAATCCCCAGGGAAGATTGAGCACCAGCAGGTGGGCCCTGCACCCCCACCCCCTCCCGCCGCACCTCCTGGGGCCCAGCCTGAGCCCAGGGTGGCAGGAAGCCTGAGGGCTGGCGGGGCTCCTCACCCAGGAGGGGAGGGAAGTTGCCGAGGAAAACAGGGTTTGGAATTCCAGTCCCCCTCCCCCGCCGGCCGCCTGCCAAGACGGAATTATTTTGGATTATCCAGCCGTGTCCAGCCACCCAAGGGGGAGGCCGCAGCCTGGAAGAGGGATCCACTTCCGGGGCTGTGGGTTGAGAGCCCCGGGAGGAAGAGACCGGCTAGTCTGGGCAGCTCCCCCTCCCCCAGGCAGCTCAGCTCCGAGGCTGCTCCGACCGGTCATGGGGGGGCGGGGTGGGAGGGGATGCGTCACCCTCGGGTTGGAGAACGCCCAGGGGTGGCCCAGCAGCTCCCGGAGCTCGCCTTGGGGAGGCCATGGGGCAGGAGGAGCCCCGAGCCCCGTGCAAGGGGCCCAGCCCCAGGACCCTTCGTCCCCAGAGGCCCTGGGACCCACGGCCTTGAGCTGGGCTCAGGCACACACCCTGTGCTTCCCAGAGATGCCAGGGCGCAGGTGTGGGTGTGACTGAGGCTGCTGAGGGCGGGGCTCAGGGGCCCGACTGAGGCAGCCCACCTGCCCCCTCACTGACCCCCGAGGAGCAGCGGACACACACAGCCTCCTCCCAAGCCCCTTGTGGCCCAGCTCTGGCCCCCATGGATGTCCCTGCTGGGATGTGGTGCCCGTCAGCCTGTCCCACTGGTGAAGGCCCCAAGGTGAGGGCCCGAGGTCATGGATGGGCTCCTGCCATGTGTGCCCAGAGCCAAGCTGCCAGCAGCTTCTGCAGGGACCTCATGGAAGAGGCAGAGCCAGCAGCTGGGAGAGCACAGGGAGCCAGGGCCTGGCTCCAGCCCAGCCGAGTGGAGCAGAAGAGATGGGATTGGAAGGCGCGGGGTGGGCTGGCAGCCTGGGGAGGGCCCATATGGCACTGGCCCCGGCCCCCAGGAGGCGTCCCAGGGACCTGAGCCGTCTGGAGGCATCGGGGTGTCTGTCCCCCCCCACCCCGTGGGTGGGTGTGACAGGCAGGGGGTGGCCTGGTGAGGAGAGGCCGCCCTCTGCCACCAAGACGTCTTCCCGTGAGCAGGAAGTCCGGCCTCAGTTCTCTTTTTTGTTTAATCCTCACCTGAGGATATTTTCCCCCATGATTTCTAGAGAGAGTAGAAGGGAAGGAGGAGGGGGAGACAGAAACACCAACATGAGACTCATCGATCGGTTGCCTCCTGAACGGGGGCCAGGGACCCTGCAGCCAAGGTACGCGTGTGCCCTTGACCGAATCAGACCCGCGACCCCTCTGTCCACAGGCTGAGGCTCTAACCACTGAGCACCCGGCCAGGGCCTGCCTCCGTCCTTGCTGCAGCAACAGCCCCTGGTCTCCTGGGTGGGGAACGAGCTTGTCTTCGTGTGGAGGAGCTGCCTTGGACTCGTGCCAGGAAAGCTGGGGGCGGTGAGGGGAGGGGGCCGCCCCAGGCCTGGCCCACGGAAAGCGGTCCCCCAGCCTCAGCCTGGACTCCCTCCGTGAGGCCGAGGCAGGTTCTGGCCAGGCCGGTTGAGTCACTGTGGCAGGTAGGGGCTGGGCAGAGTCCCTCTCCCGTTTGTGTTTGGGGTGGGGCCTCCAGCTAATTGTCTTTGGTCTCTAATCCCAGGCGGGGGAGGTGGGACCTGTGGGTGATTCAGGGGGCGTGGCACCCCTGCTTCCCTTTTCTCTCCCGTTCTTCCCTTCCCTGGTTTCACATCCCCTGCACCACCTCCCCTGCCGGCTCTGCTTCTGTCTGCCCTGGGGGTTCTGTCTGCCCTGGGGGGGATGAGGCAGGAGTCCAGCCTGGTCCTAGGCTCCCCCTACAGGTGCAGCTGCCCTCGGGGGGGCCCCCCACACCCACACCTCAGCCGCCTCTGACGGCTCTGTGGTTCTGCCCCCAGGGCCCCCCAGGGCTACGGAACTCCCTCTGAACTATGCAGTCACTCCCTCTGCTCTTCACCTGCCAGGCGGCCCTGCCCCAGGTGCAACCCCACCTTCATGGGAGGAACCCAGGCTGGGCTGAACCTGGAGCTGGGGTTTCTGTTCCCCGCCCCGTGTTGCCTTCTCAGCCACCCTTCCCACACCGAGGTGCGCCCCCACCTGCCCCACTTGTGGCCTCGGCCCACCTCAGTGCCCGTCATCCCGTTGGCAGGGCTGGGATCAGGGGGCGGGGCTGGGATCTGGTGGAGGCCCAATTCAGTGCCCACAGCCTCTCCTGGTCGTCCGAGATTGTGTGACTTCTGAACTCTGGCAGTTCCCCATCTGGGTGCCACATGGGTCCTGGTCCGGCCGGGGCAAGGGCCTGGGAGGGGGGAAGGGGAAGAGGAAGGGGAAGGGGGCCTTTTGGGTGCAGCCTGGGCTCTGACCTCAGCTCTGCCACCAGCCCTGCCCTGGGCATTGCACTTCTGGGTGTGGAGATCAGATTCCTGGGGTGCCCTCCCCCCACCCAGTTCCCGTGTGGGCGCCGGGCTGAGAGGCAGGCTGGCGAGCCCGGGTCTCTGGGCCCCAGCCGGGCCCCCTCCTCAGGAAGAGCGAGGAGGAGGAAGGGGTTTGATGTCTGCCTTGCAGGAGACACCTGAGTCAACACAGGGCCGGGCAGGGCGTCTGCTCCCCAGTCGGAAGCGGTTCCGGCCCCGGGCCCAGGGGAGACCCAGGCAGAGCTCTCCCCAGCTGGCCTTGGGCTCTGTCTGGTCTGGGGCCACTGAGCCCGCTCGCCACCTGTGCAGGGCCTGGCCGTGGGTGGGACAGGGGGTCGTGCGGGGGGTGCCGTTGGCTTCTCTCCAGGCGCCCCGCTTGGCTATTAAGGCTGGGGCTGTTCTAGAGGCCCCAGCGGGAGTGCTCCGGGCACGGGTGGCCGTGGGGGGAGAGAGTTGGCTTGGTGCCCACCGGGGCTGGTGCTGTCCTCACCTGGGTCTTGGGGTGCTGGACAGAGGCCAGGGAGGGTGGCTCTGTCTTGGGGTACAAGGGGGCCTGTGGCACACGTGGTGCAGAGGGTGTGGGAACGGCATCTTGGCAGCATGGGGTGACCTGGGCAATGGAGAGATGGGTTTGAGGTCCAATTAGAGGTGGGGTGCTGGGCCTTTGTGGATTCCAGCCCCCAACCCCCACCCCGGGGTGTTTTCAGAATTGGGGGCCTGCTCTGCAGGAGCGCCAGGGCCCAGGTCACTGGCGAGGTGCCCTTTGCAGGGAAGGGGAAGGGGTTCAGCTGGGGGCCCCCCCTCTGCCCAGCGAGCGGGAGAAGCCATTTTCAGTCCAGCCACCGAGTCGGCGGGAGTGTGGGCAGGGGTGTGTGTGTGGGGGGGCTGTGCAGGGGGCTCCAGCTCGGCCCCCTGCTCCCTCTCTGCCTGGCAGAGGCTCCCCAGACTGGCCAGGGGACCTGAGGGGCTTGGCCTCCCAGCCTGGTCTTGGCACGTGGCCTGATTTGGGGGGTTACCCTCCGGTACCTCAGGCCCCAGGAAAGGAGTCAGGATCGGGGACAGAAGGGCCGGAGGAGAAGGAGGAGGGGAAGGCCAGGGAGGTCTGCTGTCCCCAGGCCCGGTCCTGCTTCCTGGAGGCGGCCTCTGGTTCATCCTGTGTGTGGCAGCCTCTTGCTCAACCGAGTGACCCCCTACTGGGGAAGGGGGTGGGCCTGACCCCGGGGAGCTGGGCAGGCAGGCCAGGAGCCGACCTCCTCCCATG